GGATGTATTTTTACAAGGCTTTCTGATTTATATGTTACATATTGTTTTGTTTATGTTTGGGGCTGTGTATTGTAACTGAGTTTGAATATTTTTATAATAGAATTAATATGATAGTGAGGTTCCCTCATAATTGTTGGGTGTGTGTGTGTGTGTGTGTGTGTGTGTGTGTCATATTATTGTATTTTTCGAGTTTAAATAAATGTTTATCAGCATTTCCATCACGTCTGTTGTGTTGATATTAGTCATGTTGGTGGTCAAGCTGAAGTAGTGCGGCAGTGTTCTATACGTGCGCAGTGAAGCGCAATGAAATCAAACGCATTTTTAATCCAAAAATTTCCAATTTCCTATGTGGAATATTCGAAAGTCAGCGTCAAAATCCATGGAGTTGTTATGATCCTCCATCATTGTGGTCAAACGGAAGTAGTTCGCACAATAAGATTTGTTAAAGCGCGGTGAAGCGGCCTTACAATCAGATGAACGTCAATCCACAATTGATGCCGTCTGATTTTTCTGAACAACCAATCAGAATCTAGTATTTTCTCGATTCATGGTAGAATTACTAATTAGCAAAAGGATAACAGGGTTATTCAAATCTAAAATCAATACCTCGAACAAGTTTATTGCTATGAGAATACAACACCCATGAAATAGTTATATATATGTTAAACAGCTGTTGGGTCATATTTGGTGACATTCAGTACTACAACATTGGCACAATTGTTAATATCGCAACTGTCACAGTGACCAACTCAATTTCATTTCTACCTGTCTCAACTGAGCAAATATCAATGTATCTTCATGAAAAAAATATCCTCTACCACTGAAATTATGTTTCATGTTCGATTCATATTCCATTGTTTGTTTGTTTGTTTGTTTAAAGCCATATTGCAATATTGCTGCAGGACAGCAGTTATTAAGAGCAGCAACGCTGGATTGTTAAGAGCAGCAACGCTGGATTTAATATGTTAACATATTATAAATAACTTCTCCATATGACTGTTATCAGATGGTCTCGTGTCGACCTGTTGCAGACAGAAGACAGGATATTGTGAAACATTGTGAAAGTACTCTGAGAGGTTCACAAAGGGGGCACCATTCACATGATACACAAGATAAATTTGTTTTTGGAAATCATGTGGTAGTGAACAAACTTAGTTCAGTTATCCAGGAAACTAAAACAAAAGACTAACTAGTTAAAAGTTTGAGGTGTTTAGAGCTTGTTGTACCAGGTCACTTATTACAAGAGGTAATAGGTCATTACATATATTAGTAATATTATTACATGGTGGTGTCATATCATTGCTATCATGTTTCACAAAATTTGGCCTTCTAGTAACCACTGCCATTTGCCTGTCATGTCAAACCTTGAACTGAAATTGCACTTTAGATAAAATGACAGATCTGATTTGGGGGGGACAATTTCAGTTTTTTGTATTAAAACTTTACCAAAATTTGTCAGATGTAAAAGTTTGTCAATTGGCAAGAACATGTCTCAAAAAAAGATGTATGCATTATTGCAAGTCGGATCCGATTCCTACATGAGCGAGTGAGTTTAGCTTTACGCAGTCTAAGTAACCTTTCCAATTGACCAATCCGAACACAGCTTACCAAATCGCGAAAGTGGACATTTGCACATACCTTTTGAACTTTTACCTCTTAAAAGTTTGTACCCAAACAATTCCAAATGCTATTTTCCATAAGATCAGTGTTGGCGACCGGGGATGAGAAAATCCATTTTATAAGTCCCGCCCAACCCTAAATAGTAGCCGTTGTCTGATTGGTTAAATCCGTTTGGCTGTCTCGCCTTTGATTGGAAGGTCATACGTCGCTCAAAGGTTACCTGACGCGACCTTCCACAAGGTTTTGTTAGACTCAGTATAGCAGTGTAACGAATAATACTGAGTCTAAGTTTACTTAGACTGAGTTTTACGCTGCTTTTAGCAATATTAAAGCCATAGGGCACAAAGACAGATAATCTAGATGTGCCTTTATGAACATAACTGTGCCCATACCTCTTGATGATCCAAATAAACATAAAACATCACAACAATTATCTCACTTAATAATAATAATAATGAATTTGTAGAGCGCCTATCTTCCAGTTTGTGGTGCTTGTGATTCTTATTTAAATTCGTTTGTTCAAACAGTAAACACAAGCATTATGTAAATCTGTAAACGTGACAGATGAATTTCCTGAACACTATCAAGATGTTCGACTTTTCCTGGACCAGTAAGTTAACCCACAAACTGTTATCATCTCAAATGGGATGTCCTATTATGCACATTGGCATTCAAAATAGCCAAGTCTATGTTAAGCTGTGAGATTGAGAGTGTCTTACTGTCACTGATAAACAGTTTGAAGGGGTGCAAAAACAGGTTTTGAATGTTATGATTACACAATGCCATTTAGAAAGTGGTCAAATGTAACATATGTTATATTTGGGATTACACTTTCTTAGTAAAGTACAAATTCTAGTACTTTTTGAGTTGAGCCCCATCCGGGATTCGAACTCACACCCTCAGAGTCAGGCACCTAATCGCCAGCACACAAAGTCAGCTACCGCGACTTCCACTGTGGAAGACGCCTAACCCGCTCAGCTACCGCTGACTTCCACTGTGGAAGTCTTGTAGCTGAGAGGGTTAGGCGGCTGACTTTGTGTGCTGGCGATTAGGTGCCTGACTCTGAGGGTGTGAGTTCGAATCCCGGATGGGGCTCAACTCAAAAAGTACTAGAATTTGTACTTTACTAAGAAAGTGTAATCCCAAATATAACATATGTTAGGTTTTGAATGATTCAAGTTGGTGAAATTCACAGCATTTTCAAATAAATGAATCATGATGTGTATTCTCTTTATAATTTTAGTCATGCTGCCTGGGCATAATCAAAATATTTCAACCATGCATTTCAATATTTAACTTGCCATGGCACACAAATTAAGCCCTATTCTGATCCCTGTACTTTGACCTTGATTTTCTTTGTTTTCTGTTTAATACTGCACCCTATGCTAAACAACCAGTGGACTGACAGTGGACTAAAACAGCCACACCTGGACCAGGCAATCCAACTGGACAATAGTGTAAGAATCTACTTATAAAACATCTATAAACATGACGAATGCAATAAACATAAGTTTGTACCATAAAGTTGTATGTCCTATTTCCTCACCAGCTTCTAAAATGTCAGTTAAACAGTCCGTTATCAAGGTTGGGGTAAGTGATCTATAAGCTTACCAATTCCTAAAAAGCTTCATTGCAGAGTTTATCTAGCATTGTCAAGTAAGCGCATATGTAAAGCTGTTTGCAACACATTTTGTTCAAAATTGGGACGTTTAAAGTTCTCTTTTTCTAAATTTAAGTATTTTAACCATGCAATTTTTAATACTGAATTCAGATAAATTCAAACTGTGCATTGACTCCCCTTTAACCTTACTGCTATCGCTGAAACACAAGTGATCTCCGACAAAACCATCACATTAGTTTTTCACTTGGGAATGACATTTTATTCATTTGGGATTTGTAAAGAAATTTGCAGCAGGGAGCCTAATATTGGTCTTCAACTAGGTTTTCATGGTGTGAATCAGACAATTTTTATTTTTGCGTATTGTTAATGATGACATATATATATTTGATATTTTATGTCAGTGTATAAAATTAGATCTAACAGGTCATAAACACAGTGAAGAAAGCTGGAAAATTTCTGATTATCTGGTCTCATATTTGAAAACAAAATCAATACTGTATTTATAAAGATAAAACTGGATAGTCAACAAAGCGTGATAAGTTTTGTTTCATGTTAGTCATTTTAAATTATAAATTCCCTATTGTAAAATACATCATATGTGAACCAAGAACTAACATGATTCATGTATAGGAATTGACACAGGTAAGTGTGTATCTTATTGTCTGAGAATATTATTGGTGAATAGTGTCATTACTGAGTATTCACCTGAATTGGTTTTGCCGATAAATCCTTGTTAATTAGTTGATTCTAATAGATGCTCCATCCATTAAACCACAGGTGGTTTTGGGCTAGGATGAAATCTAAAAGCTAACATATTATAACTCAGAGACATTTGAGTGCAGTTTATAATGACATACTATATTTCTACATCATACCTTCTTGTTCCATTCCCGAACTATGTTACTAGTCATACTATCTGCAATATTACAATTTATTCCCACGTCTGGAGTGCAGTTTATAATGGCATACAATATTTCTACATCGTACCATTGTTCCACTCTAATGTATGCATAATTCATGTACTATGTTACTAGTCATACTATCTGCAATATTACAATTTATTCCCACAGACCGAGTTATTGTTTACACCAGTCATATATCTGTGGTAGGGTCGCAGCTCTGGATGTTATTGCCTACCATATCCAGGCTATGCGCATGCCGGATATTGTTACCTCAACTTCGAAAGTAGGCGCATGCGCAGTTGCTTTTCTTCCACATTTTCAGCATTGCCATTGTGTTGTTTGTTCTCGTGATACAGCGTCCCACCCCCACCCCCATTTGGGGTACACCACCTGGTGCTTATGGTTCCTAATATATTGGGGATTCCCTTGCTGGAAGTTATCCGCTCATTCAGGCGGATTATCTTTCCCCCAAATCTATAAGTACTATATACCTCTTGCTAAGGTATCCAACCCAGGCATTGCTAGTGGGAGCAATAGAGAGGCTAGGTACCCCTACTGGCTTACAGCCTTCTATACAGCTATAGTCATGTAACACTCTAATTACATGTACTCCACTTATATCACAAGAAGCCTGTCGAGCAACCCTCAAACAGGCTCTAATGCCTTGTTGGGCTCGACAGGGTTCCCTCTACATATATGCATGTCATACTCTAAGTACATGCTATATATCCAGCAAAAGAATCCCCCACTCCAAATATATATTGTGTAAATTATGTAAATAAACTTTGTAATGCATATCTCCTCTTGTGTTGTGTGTCATTGTAAATTAAGCCCTCATGATGAAACCAAATACATACCTTTAACAGAGACACGCTGTGATATACTTCCACACTTGTCCCGGAGAGTAAAATAATTTCCTTGTCTCCTTGACAATGAAGAATTGACACCTCTAAAAGTCTCTGGACTACATGGTTTAGCATTTAATGGCCTTGAGTTTCTCTCCCTCTGAAGTAATGGGGGAGGAAAATCATCAAAAGTCATACGAAGCATAGTCTCAATTGTGACATTGTCTTCAGTTTCCACAGTCAGTTCACAATGTGGTACTTGGGTATACTGGAAGAAAACACCATTCTTGTACCAGTAGAAGTCATAAGATGGCCGGAAGAGTTCATTGGGAAACTTGTCTGTAAAGTTGGCGAATAAATGAATCGTTTTTCCAGTTGAAAATGTGTTCTTTTGTCTCTGATACTGGAGGGTTTGGTTTGAGTGCATCATCCCATTCAAATATTCTGAAAAGGAACAAAGCTTACCATTAAAACAGAATTTTCATAGCCTGTGTTCAGTGTAATAATGACATGATATTCTTTTATATTTGTAAATATGTTATAATTATGGAAGTGCTAATGTAAAAAAACAAACCGCACTCCAAGTCTATGTTTATACTTCATTAAAGCAAAACATATACTGAAGTCAACTCTTATTTATAAACTAATATAAGTCTCATAAATTACCTGGTGATATAAGTCATGTGACTATTAACCTTCTAGTGCCTCATCAGGGGTAATAATAATCAGATTCTGATTACAGCGTCCAGTGAGCAACTAGTCAGATGGATACTAGGCACTATATATATGAATTAATTTCATATGTCAAATATAACTTCACATATTTCTTAGACAATCAGTGATGCAAAAGAACAACAATATGAAATCAGTAGCATCATTCAGCACAATACACAAGCTCCATTACCTGTATCGCAGCCAATATGGTAACAGCAGTTATTAGAGGATGATGTCCTAATGTTGTTGGTTTTATCTAACCATAATTGACAAAATATTTGACAATCAAATGACATGGCATCACATGCAATTTGAGTCTTTATATTTTCCAAAGAAGAAAAATATTACAGTGGGTGAACATTGTTTTATGGCAAAGATGCACTGCTCCAATCAGGATGTAGTCAACTCAGGGCTGAGTAAAAGCAATGGTTGATAGTTGGGAGTAGCACACTGAACCACCCAATCCTCGTTTCAGTCAGATTTAAATACAAAGTTGCCAAAGAGGTAGGGATATAGCGTTTTGGAAACACAGGCACTTTTAACCTACAACATGGCAACAAGCTAGCAAATGATGTGCCAAAGAAGTTGCCTTTTGATTTGTCCAAATGATATTTTTATAATTGAAGATTCAAAAGGGACAAGTAAAATTAAAAAGTTATTATATATATGGAAAAACAAAAATATCTAGAAGAAGTAGTCGGATGGCATTATGTTCAAATGTCTGAAAAATTAGGATGCCTCTGAATGCATGCATGCTTTATTGGGGCCTATTCTGACTGCAAACCATAGCAGAGTGCAAAACTAAAACTAAACTGTCAATATGTGAGAAATCACAAAATGTTTCAACCTGTCAGGGCAAATTCCATACTGCCGAAGTTGACCATTTCTGAGTACTCCTTCCCACCATACACTGCCACTGTCATAACCCATCGTCCTGCCTTCGTTACTTCGCTGCTGAACTTGCGATGGTAAGAGGACGTGAGGTCTCCCAACTTTGATGCGAAGTTCTTATCAGCATTGTTGTTCCAGTCATAGCGGAACATATTCGATTTGGCAACCCTCCCCTGGTGATCTAGAAGACTGGCAGTGAAGGTCAGCTGGGAATCTAGTACCACTGGTCCATCATTGGTCAGTACCAAGGTGTAGTTGACTGCAAGCATAAAGTACAATTATTGGAACGTGTGTTAGTTTTACTGTTACAAGGTCAGGTTCTTGAGAGGCATATAGAAGTTGGTATTCAAGTATAAGACAAAATATTATGGATGTCAACTTCTTGTTATTCTATACACGTTTCTGGGCTTTTCCTTGCCCCTGTTACAAGGTCATTGGTTAAATACATAGTTGCATAGTTACAAAAGGATTTGAAACCTGTAAATCATAGAAAATCCACTGATTAGGTGTTTTTAACAACCTGTGATGTCGGAGTACAATGACAGGCCACCAACAATGTCGCTGAGTTCAGTGAGTGAGTGAGTATCGTTTTATGCTGCTTTAGTTTTAGCAGCATTCCAGCAACACCACAGCGGGGTACACCAGAAATAGGCTCCACTTATTGTACCCATGTGGGTAATTTGAACCTGAGTCTTCAGCATGACAAGCAAATGCTTTAACCACTAGGCTATAGCACCACCCCTCATTGAGTTCAACCACTGGATGAAATCAGTTGCATCTCACAACCACCATTGGTTGAACCAATTCTCCAGTACAACTGCATTGTCTTCTTCATAAGCCACAAACAGGGTTAATGAAAAGTAAAAAATGTTTCACCACCTTGGAACCAGTATTTGTGTAGCATATCACGCTTGCAATTACAACCTGAGTCTTGACTCCAACCAGCAAACATTATCTTAAAAAAGCACCCACATTATAACACAGCTACAACTGAAGAAGAATGGGACAATTGTCTGAAAATAAATGCCCAAAGGAAACATATTTGGCAAATAGCAGATTTAGCTAATTCTGTGAGACTTTGTGATGTGGTAAATGAGAAAGTTTTGACAAAAACTATTAAAGAGTATGGTTTGAATTGTTTTCGACAGAATAAAGTGAGTGAGTTTAGTTTTACGCAGCTTTAGCAATATCACACTAGGGGACACCAGAAATGGGCTTCACACATTGTACCCATGTGGGGAATCGAACCTGGGTCTTCGGCATGAGGAGCAAACACTTTAATCACTAGACTACCCCACTGCCCCTACAGAATAAAGACTACCATCCAAGATAATAACACATTCGAGCTAAATATGAACTTTTTCACAACAATTCAGTATAATCAAGCAAGCATGGAAAAGCTTGTATCAGTGTCATACATGTGTAACCACTGTAGTAAATTCAGCCAACAATCTTAATCTCAACACAAACCGTACAATGATAAAACTTAGATCAAAGTCACACTTTATGCATGTTCAGTCAAGTAAATGAATTCAAAACCACTGGAACACATTCAATACATTGTAAAATATTTCTTTGCCTGTCAGTAAGAATTAAAGACAACACAGATCTTAATTCCTGAATAGACAGTAACGAAGGAGCCTACTGCGTTTGTTACCTAGTCCTTGCCTGGAGCACACAAGCTCCAACACCAGGACCCATGAAGATTACAAGGTTAGAATTGATCTTCAGTAACCCATGCAACTAACGGGATCAGGTGGTCAGGCTTGCTTACTTGGTTGACACATGTGATTGTATCCCAGTTGCATAGATCGATGCTGATGCTGTTGATCACTGGATTGTCTGGTCCAGATTTGATTATTCACAGACCACCACCATATAGCTGGAATATTGCTCACTCACTCCTACACAGCGCTCACTCCTACTACTTAACACCAGTGTGCCGTTGTACAAAGTTATGGTAACTCCCATACCTTAACATAGACTTAAGACTGGCAGCGTTAAGGTTGATTTGTACAACGGCACCCACTGACCCAGGTCCACTTAAGCAACCATTATCATTATTATTGCCATCTCTGCCACAACTTGTCTAACACAGGGAATATGAGGGATACAATCTTTCTGAAATGTGGTCCACTTAAGTTCTTTCAAATAATACATATCAAGTTTGTTACAGTGCTTGGCAACAGTACTAATACATTAGACCATTGGACACTCACAATTCTGTCCACAACAATAAAAAAGCACCAAAAATTAATATGCTGACCAATGAAGTTTGTGAGTTCACTGAATGCCTTAATATAAATGAATGTGGATATGAAGTACACTTTACCATATGTTACAGGCTTCGTTATTAATTTCACACTACTGTATCTGATTGAAACATTCCACTTTTTCTGTTATTTTTCTTACTCTACTCCCCCACCCTACTGCATAAACATGTGTGTCATTCATGTACAGTATCTGAACATTAGCTATACTCATCATTCCCATATCTGTATTTTATAGTTTTATAGTTTTTATTGTTCCTTGAACCTCATTTGTATAATCACTCTCATGTTGTCAATTCTACAGGATGTCTAAACGAAATGAATGACTCCAAGGGTGTTTTTATGCATGCATTTCAAGTCCTGGGTCATAACATGCATTAATTTTGCTGGAAGTCCAGTGCATAATAATAAAATTTTATCTTTAGATTATTTTGTCTGAAGCATCAACAAAACAATGACAGCGAGAGGATTCTTTCATCTACAATCTCACCTAAATCTAAAATAATGACAACTAGTGAAATATACGTTCTGGAGATTTTTATGACGAATGTTGGGACGGACATTGAAATCATGGCCTCTTAGCGTGGAAATAGACAGGGACATCATTAATTTTCTCACTCACTTTTGTCAGCTGGCGCAACTGTGACCGGTGTCGCGTTGGAGAAGGGGGTCGTATGACTTGTGGGTGGGGTAAGACCAAGACCCATTCCTGGCCATAGTATCACCACGGTCGTTACCGCACCGGCAAACACCCAAACGCTCATCTTCGAGACAGCAGGCCTTGAAACTTCACACTGTCACCCCGTTGAGTAATCCAAAGTTCAATTGCGCTTGTTTACCTATTTGCATCGGGGTTTCTCCACTTCATTGCTTTTCCTAACGCTGCGTATCAATTTCTTCCTCTTCCTACCGACACTTTGTAGCATACACACGGAAACAAATGACGTCTGGGACATCAAACTCACTGCCACTCTCTCAGCGTAGCGTTTTGTTGTTAGACATGAATGAAGTCACGTGTGGCTGTGTCGGTGCAGATATGAATTGTTCCCTGTGTAATATGACTAGCCTGTGTACGTTCTGTGTGCAAGACGCTATATCGGTTCCGAGTTGTTTCACCAGAGTTCTTTTGTCCCAATTCCAAACTATGTCCATTCATCCCTTATTTAGGGGCTGTTTCGCCCTTATTCAAGAGCTGATTCACCCAACTAATTGAGCATACATGGAGAATGGCATTACGTAATGCTTAAATTAAATCTGTTATACCTAATTAAGCAATGTTTTTAGAACAATCAGATATTAGTGCAAATGTGTCTGTTTTGAGATGGGACTTAAAGTTATATCTCATCTAGTCCCATCACGCTTTAAAACTTAAAACATTCAAATACTAGTAAGTCAACATTGAACTTGCATTTCTGCCATGGCGAGTGCAGGTATGGGGATCTGCCTCAGCTGCAAGAAGAAAGTAGGACCGCGTCAAGATGGACTGCAGTTGGAATCCCCACACGGGTATAGTGTGTGAAGCCAATTTCTGGTGTCCCCAGCCGTGATATTGCTGGAAAATTACTAAAAGCGGCCTAAAACTATGTTCACTCACTAATAACTGTAACGAGTTCCGATGTTTATACTGTTCAGCCCTCACTCCGTGAAGGTTCATAAAGTAGAAATCATTTCTTCGAGACTGATTTGGATAGAGTCGCATCGCTGATTCGAACCCAGACTTCTTATAGAAAGGCTCTAAATAGTCAGCACAGAACGTCAGCCACCAAACCCACTTGGCCACCGAGGCTTCCACAAAAGTGGAGGTCCGAAAATTGGAAGTGCCATAGACCATATAATTAATTCTAAATCCTAATATAAGTAAAGTGACATGCCCATGAATAAACATAGCAGAAGGCTATGAATAGGCCTACAAAGGTTTTTAGTTATTATTGGGTATTATCTTTGTCAGATCCTGAATCAGCTTCTGATAACGGACAATGTCCGTGGTGAATTACTCTCAGTGCGGACATGTTACCCGTGTCTGTGCAATGTATTGATTATGGAATACGAGTCAACTGGTCTTGAAACCTAACTTATAACCCGACAGTGACGTCACCCTATTGTTCTTAGGGGGCACTTTTTCTAGTAATATCCCTCAAATCTGATACAATCTCGCTTCCTCGGGCAATTATCTAAATAATGTCCCTCTGTCCCGGGCAATTATCTTAATAACGTCCCTGTCCCCCTGCCTGGGGATTTTCTGAGGAATAGCCCTTGACTTTGAATTATTACTTGTTTTGAGGATTGATACGACTTTGTCTTGCCATCACTGAGTGCGATCTTAAAATATGATCTTATTTCCAACATGTAGTTCCGACACCCGATTTTGAACCCGCAACCCTTCGCTTACTAGCTTGGCGGTTTTATCCACTAGGCTACGAAGGATCGCTGTGAAGAATGAGATCGTTTGTCGCTATGAACCGTGTGCTCCTCGCAAGACGGTTATTGCCACTCTCCTACCCAGAGTTCCATGCGGCAAGCCAGCATAGTACCTCTGCCACAGGCTACAAAAATGTGACGATTCGTCACATCTTGCAATGTCCATTCAATATAATGTACAGATTTCTTTTATTTTTAACGAGTCTACACATCTAACTAAACATCTTTAATAGAATGGTTAAGTTTCACTGAGAAAATATCCCAAAACATGTAACACTATTTCGATTTGCGTGGCGATCCTTTGTTTACATAGGTTGTACGGCTCCACGTGCAGTCACCGAAGCCGACGGAGAGCAAACGATGCAACCAGTTTGATATCTAAATATGTACTGTCATAGACCTAACTGTCGCAGTTGTGGAAGAATATATATGTAACAATGTAAAACATTATGAAGAGAGCGCCGAAAATCTTTCGTGAGCCCAGTCTCTTCTTATTATGAATATGCGCGTTTGATTACAAACAAGAGAAAAGTCCGGTCACGTGATATGCAAATTAGCCTGTGGCAGTGATGTTATGTTAGTCATCGCTGTGCCGGAGTGTGGGTTATTGCAGGCAGCGCACGTGCAGGGAACGGGTAGCGCGTGCATTGCGAGGCGTCGGCTGCCAGTCTCAACAGTAAATACCAAATATTGAAATTATATCTAAAGTGTATATCTTCGGTATCTTTATAAGTTGGATATAGCATGACCCGTGGGCATTATTGAAAAGTAAAGCCCTCTTCCCTTGGGAAATGCCCGCGGGCCTCAGTGTCTATTTAGCTCCTACCCGAGTCTAGCATTAACAAAAAATAAATTCATTCTATTTCCAACAATATACATCTACAAAATAAATAATATTCAAATGGATCACAGGTAAAAGGTCAACTTCAGGAGCTGAGGTAATCGTACTGGACTTGAGTTGCCGGATTCATTTTTCAAACATGCTGGTCGTAAGAGGCGACTATCGGGATCGGGTGGTCAGGCTCGCTGACTTGGTTGACACATGTCATCGTATCCCAATTGCGTAGAACTATGCACATGATGTTGATCACTGGATTCAGTGGATTGTCTAGTCAGTAGTAAGAAGGTTCATCTTCTTACTACTCTGGTCCAGACTCGATTATTTACAGACCGCCGTCATATAGCTGGAAAATTGCTGTTTGCGGCGTAAAACTAAACTCACTCACTGACCCATTTTTCAAAATATTTTCTGGAAGGTAGACTTCTCTACTCCCTGTTCCAAGCAGTGCTGTATATTCAAATGATAATGTTATTTTTGTTCTCATCTGCTGACACGACCATGATGCACAAAACATCCTTACTCCATTCTGACCTTGTGCTATGAATGAGATTCACACAATACAAATACATAACAAAGTTATACGAGTGTGTCTTCAAGGCAGGCCACGTCTCGCCATAACGGCTTTATCAACTAATCACAAACATTTGCTTCAACATTCCCACAGCCTATCACAACTACATGAAGGGGAGCGGAAGTTGTGTAATATTGGCCGACATTACGTTCTTGTGAGCTCATGTTGATCAATGTTATGACAACAACCGAACGACCTAGTCGGATTCATACAGAGGAGATTTAGGGGAACCTTTTCAAAGTGACGAACAACAATTTCTACAAGACGTACATTACATAAGCCATCTGGATCAATTCTTTGCTTCGTTTTCTTGCTCAGAGGCTTAAACAGAGAGGAAAACAAAGGCTTTCCAGTTATTCCAAAATATCAAGTTTGGACTAATTACTTTACAGGAAATATTTTATAGGATTATAAAAATACGGTAATGTTTTAAATATATCATGTTTCACTAGAGGATAATACAGGTCACAAGATTTGCTTCATTGGGCTCCATCCTTCCAGAACAACGTGTATTTTCATATGTTGTTTGTTTAACATATGTGATATTTGGGATTACACTTTCTTAGTTAAGTACAGATTCTAGTACTTTTGGGGTTGAGTCCCATCCGGGATTCGAACCCACACCCTCAGAGTCAGGCACATAATCGCCAGCACACAGCCAGACGCCTAGACCGCTCAGCCACCGTGGAAGATCACTTTCTAAAATGGCATTGTGTATTTCATGTTGTTTGTTGTTTAACGTCGTGAAAAGCAATATACATGATTGTATCAGCATAAGACGGCCGTCTTTTACATATGTTTGTTCCGTGCTCTGTTGGAACAAGTGTGCACAACATATGAATATTGTCTTTTCTACTTTATACATCATTATTTTGTTGCTTATTGCACACAGAGTCTAAGGAGCAGTTTCAGACGTTCGCTAATCAGGAGAGAATTCTATCCGGGTACGAATTTTCTAAGGCGGTACATGTACAAACACCGTGGAGCATTTTGTCACGTGTCGGTTACGGAAGTCCGTCAACTGGTTGCACACATTCGTGATCACTCGTCAATCTCCGGAACCTGCCCGTCCCGGAATAACAAACAGATTCGCGGATTGAAATTATTTCTGCGTCTGTTGTCACAATCAGAAGTCAGCCAAATGCTTTGGAAAGAGTGAGAGCAACTGCGAAAATGGACGACGCAGCGAAACGGGCTGTGATAAAGTATCTGCATAAAAAGGGTTTGACAACAGCGGAAATACACGACGACATGAACAGTACTCTAGGGGATAACTGTCCTTCGTTTTCAACTGTAGAAGAATGTGTTGCTGAATCGAAGCAATGTATGAGTAGCAAAGATAATCACCTGAAAGATGTGTCTAAAACCAAAGTGAAGGGTGTCCACAGTGATTGACAATCAGCAACGAATTAGGACTACTTGTATGTGTGTCAGCTGATCATCAAATCAGAGACCATATACCGATGTTTGTTCATTCTTTCAACCCCTTGTTTGTTCCAGTCTCGCTGGAAAATTGCCGAGAATTGCTCAATCAAGCGAGACTTCAAATCATAAAACTACAATAAAATTCTGATAAATCTAGTTGTTTTATTCAAACCCCCCAAACACAAATTGAAATGTTTTAACCAATATAGTTATTTCTGTATGTATGACGGTGAAATGTGTCACGTAATATATATGTATGTTGTATGTACAAAAATAAAAATGAGATCTACATGATCTTTACATACCCCAAATTTGGTCCGAATGTTGGTGTTCTGAGCAATATTGTCCCAAAACCATATCAGTGTATGCATGGAATCTAAACCTTGGTCTGTATTTGAGCAGAGACCATATAACAGACTTTATATGGTCTCTGATTTGAGGCACTTCTGTTAGACCCAGATCTTTATATAATTTGGCAAAGTCAGGGATGCAGATAATGTTTCAAGCAATGGAGAATTTACCATGTTTAGTCATGTTTCATAACTTTATTTGAGTATCGAATATATTTTACCCCTTGGACTGAGTGTATTAGTATTCTTGAAACAATTACATGACATTGTAAAAATAATTCTGCTCAACATGCCTGTTAGGTTACTTCTAATTTAATGCAGTTCATATTCTGACAAAATGTGTCTAGTGTGGCAGAAGCTGACAAAATATTGTTTTCCATGAGTCGGTTGCATTCAGTGAGACATAGCACTTCTGTGAATGAGTGTTTAGTTTTA